CCTTAACTGCTCACACTTCTTAAGATTCCTGAAACCATTCTTCTGTAAAGTAGGTTTCTCTGTATGTCTTGCGTTAACGTCCTTTGAAATGAGATATTAAACCAAGTTCCTGTTTGCCTGTTCCAGTGGTTCAGTTTAATGTTAAATATGCTATGGCAGGGAATCTCCTGTTGTCCTGTCCAATATTTCTCTTACTTCCAAAACCAAATCACTGAGAACTTATTTAATTAGTTATTCATTGTGTGTAAACTGGGCTGAGTTGGTAATACACTTGCCTCTGAGTCAGAAGGTTGTGGCCCCTGCCGGGGCTTGAACTCCATTTCTAAATCACAAGATCAGTCTGGATAAAGAAGACACTTTGGCCCCTCCGATCACATTCCTCCAGAAAACCCACTCTATCCCCACATCACAGGATCAAGCTGATTATTCCTCCACAAAACACAGTCACTACACTTTACAGTATATCCTGTGAAGCTCTTTGAGACATCTCAAAGACACGATAAGGTGCTGTAGCAAATGCAAGGATTATTATTAAATGAACCTAGTGTCCTGGCCTCTATCACCTTTCCTGGCAACCCGTTCCAGTCCTTTTCTGAGTAAAGAAAAACTTCCTGGTGTATGTCCTGAAGCTGTCCTTTACAACTTATGTCCTCTTGTTTCACTGGCATGATACCTCCTATAGTATTGATCTTGGTTTACTTTTTCAATCCTATTTAAAAATTTGTACACCGTTATGAGAACTCCCCTGAGTCGTCGTCTCTCAAGACTGAAGAACCCGAGCTTTCCTTCATTGCTCATTCCTCTAATACTGGGGATCATCCTCATTACATTCCTCTGCACCGCCTCGAGGTCCCAGACAGCCTCTATATGTCATGGTGACCAGACTGTCTGCAGTATTCAGGGTATGGTCTGACAAGAGCACTGTACAGCCTGAGCGTGAAGTCTGAGGATATAAACTCAAGTGATTTAGCAATACAGCACAGCATCCTGTTTGCCTTGTTTATTTAGTTTCCCCCTTGGCAAGTTTCATCCCATTCATGGAGTATTTATGTTTCCTATTTTTGAATGCTATATGTAGTACCTTGCTTTTATCAGTATTAAACTTCATTTGCCAGTTATTTGCTCATAGAGGTCGGGCCTTCAGCCTCTTTGCCCCCACCCTTTGGAACTCCACCCCACATTTCCTTTGCCTCGCTCCCAACCTTGCCTCAAGACCGTCCTCTTCGACTGCGCCTTCAGCCACCCTCCAACCCTCCTTGCCCTCCACACTCCCTGTTCCCAACCCCCATCCTCAGGTCCAAATCCCTGACTGTTCAGCGCCTTGGGACATCCTCCTGACATGAAAGGCGCTTTACAAATGTAGTTTTGGATTTTATTGTATGGGCACACTACACTGACATTCCAATGCAGTGCTGGGAGTGTGTTTCATTGTCGGATGTGCCATCCTTCGGATCAGACGTTAAAACCAAGTTCCCGTCTGTCTTTTTAGGTGGACGTTAAAGATCCCATGGCACTTTCTCAAAAGAAAAGGGCATTTCTCCCAGTGTCATAGCCAAGAATCCCCCAAATAAAATTGTTCATTCATTTCATGGTTGTTTGTGGGACATTGCTGTTTGCAAAATTGGCTGCAACGTTCGCTCATAGATACAGTTACTCCACTTCACAGTAAATCTTGTGAAGCACTTTGGAATGTCCTCCAGGCATGAAAAATGCTGTACAAAATGTAAGTATTATTATTATTAATATTATCTCATTGTAGGACTGTGCTGCCATAGATTAGCAGCTGCATTTGCCTGTATAAAAATAGTCATCACACTTAAAAGTAACTCATTATGTGGCAAGTGGTTGCAATACTTTGATATGGTAAGACATTTTATCAAATGCAAGTATTATTGTTATGGTAGGTTTGATTGCCTTGTTCTTTTACAAACTGCTGTATTATTATTAGAGGCTTCACAGCTGCAGCATAAGTCGAAAAAAAAGGATGAGACCTGGTAGCCAGAGAAGGTTTAACACTAGGGTCAAAAACACATTAGCATCTTAAATTTATACAATCTTCCTATATTTGAATCCTGACAGTAACCAGAAATACATCAAATCGGCCACAGGATCTCAGCTCTGATGTGAGAGGAAGTCATAATGCTCTTTTCGAGTTCGGCGGGATTACGTACAGCATTTAGGAATCCTGAGCAAACCTTAGGCTGCAAATATCATGTTTATAACCCAATTTATTGGGAGGAATATTTGTCATGAGATTTATAAACTGTTGTAAATTCAACTTTGTTGTACTTTCCTTTAATGAGGCTTTATTTGTAAGAAATGGTAGAGTTATACGCAGTCTTGCAGAATAGTTTATTACTTACCTGCTGGCAATTCAAAGATATACGATTTATTGTCTAGTTTTCTTTGGCCCACTGGCTAGCCAGCCCATTTCAAATTTCCAGCCCTCCTGTACTCCAGGCAAAGTAATCATTGCTGTAGCTGCAACCAAAGTGACCATCATAATATCCTCAATTATTTGCAATATTTTTTCTCTTTAAACATTGAGAACATTAAGGATTCATCAGTTTCTGCCAATGTGTTCTCTTGCGATGGGGAGAACTTTGTGGAGTCCTGTAGCTCAGTGGTTAGAGTACTTGCCTTGCAAGCGAGACACCTGGGTTCAATTCCAGGCAGGGCGAAACCTTGGGCAAGTTTCCTTATTCCACACGCCTAATAATAATCCCTCCAAAAACAAAAACAATAATAAATTGGTCATTTCAATCCACAACTGTGAAGCACTTTGAGACGTCGAGAAGACGTGAAAAGCACTATAGCAAATGCAAGGATTATTATTATTATTATTATAACTTACTGTATTTCATTACTTATTATCGTGTATAAGAAAAACACTCTGCAGATAGCATAGAGAGAATTTAAATCAATGTTCAGAGATAGTTTTGTTACATGAAACACAAGCCCGATGAGAATTGAAAATAATCATGATGGTTTACTTTAATATCCTGAACTATAAAATGCAGCCCAAGGTGAAAATAAATGCATGGATCAGGGAATAAGGGAAGCAATATATGTAGTTGGGCTTGAAATTGGATTAAGACTAGCAATATGATCTTAATGCAAGTTTAGTTAATAAAACAAGAGGCTGAGTATATGCTCATTGTGAGGATAGAGCAACAATAAAAAAAAATCTGTTTTCATAAGCCGGTTTGAAAACAATCTGGCTCACCAATGATATTCCTCTCTCAAGTGCAATTGTACTTTGCACCAAGAGAAAACTATGAACCAAAAATCTATGCAATTCAAAGGATTTCAAAACAAGCTGCATCATTAACTAACATTTAAAATGCACATTAGCAATTGTGCAGCATTTCAATTCTAAAAGGACTATGTGCTGATTCTTATTCTATTAAGATAAGTAACTTTAGTAGGACTTAGTGCGCTTAATGGAAGCTGATAAATAGATTCACTATTCAGCAATAGGCTTATTGAACAGTAATGGAAATATGTTGAATGTGTTTGACCCCTATTCCTCTGGGACTTATTTTAATGCTCTAAGCTGGCATGACAGGGAGCTGTAGTATTCCAATAAAGAGGTGAACTTATTCCTTGTCCTCTTTTGCTTGTACTCACTGAGGTTTCTCCTGACAGTTGATGTCTCAATATAACTGAGGAATAGTAAAATAAATTAGCTGTGCATTTGGAAAGCAGATTGACCTTTAGGAAGAAGATTAACAGGTGCTTCTCTTCCTTCACCATAGTTAGTAAGGCATTTGATTTTTCTTGACTGTGTATATAATTGCAATGCCTGCAGCTTTCATGCATTTTATATTATCTGCTTTGATTTATAAGCTGGTACAAAGAGAAAATCAGCTTTGTCAACTGTATTTTCTTTCACAGAGTTTTGATCATCAGCAAACAGCATGCTTTTTTGACAGAGGTACATAGTCTGTTACAGAACTGTCTACGCTCATCAACTGGTAATTGACAGGATTGTTGCGCCATAACAGACTTTCTCATGGTTTAACTGTGACTGAATGCTTTAATGCCAAGGACACTAACATTTAGAGATTGGCTCTGTAATCCTTTGTCTTTTGAGCACTGAGAACCAACAGAAATAGTGACACATACTTTAACAATAGCTCTTTGCCTCTGCCTGATGAATGGCACCCTTGCTAGATGTGACTAACCTGTAACCCTTTGTAATCAGTAAGTGGTCTAATAGATGAGAGTTATCTTTAATGTAAAACTATTTATACGGCTATGTTGCTTTGTTACTCTGTTTCGATTCCATCATTCAACCATTTGAGTAGGGAAATGACAATTCAACGCAGGAGACTATTAAAGCTGTAAAATAAAAGAGACATAAGCCTCTTTGAAAGCTTCAGAGAGCACGTCTGCATCACTCACAGAGGGGGAGGCAGGAACAGAAAATATTGTTCTGGAGTTCTTTGACAGCACAGCCATATATATATATATATATATAATATATATAATATTTATATATATATATATACATATTTGAAGGAGATGGTTTTCAGAATCTGTCAGTCTATTTGCTCGTTCTGACGCTGTGTGAGCACGAGTTCCCCTGAGACAGATGGAGGAAGCACAGGGAAGCTTATAGGTGACTGTGCTCTTGTGCCTGCACTCTGCAGGGTGCAGGGCACCTGCTCTGGCTGCGCTGGCAGGTTGCATCCTGTAGTAAAGCTGATTAGCCTTCACAAGTTCGCCTCGTCATCTGTCGGGAGCAATGGTTATCGCAGCTCCATAGCGTCTGTGTTGCAGCAGCAAAGTCCGCAGCTCAGGAACAGTGAAGGCAGTGGATTGTGCACACACCAGACAGACTGGAGAGCAGTGCTCTCTCTGCACATCATTCCGTGACACTGAATTACAGCCAAGTCAGCTCTCTCTCCCCCTCTCCCTCTCTCTCTCTCTCTCTCTATCTCTATCTCTATCTCAACCTATTTCAACACATCTGTTCAGACAAAAAAAAAAAAAAAATGTCAGCCTCAGGGAGGAAAGAATTCGATGTGAAACACATCCTGCGACTTCGTTGGAAATTGTTCAACCACCCGTCACCAAGTTCAGCCGGGACTGGGGGCTGCCAGGACAGCTTTGAGCACTGGGGTCCCAGTCAAAACAGGTTGAAAAATCACAACCATGAGAGAGGGAGCTTTTGGAAAAAAACAAACACCCTCAACGGTGTCCTACTTCCAGCACATGGCAGAAGTAGCCATCTCGACTGCCAGCAACAGCAGCAAAGAACTGTTTTTTACGTCGAGGCAGTGGAAGAAGTGCCGAGGTTGCAGTTCACCAGGGACAGCAAGTCGTCGGTTGAAGATGTGAAAGAAGAGATGGTGCATTCCGACTGTTGTAAGGGGACGGGAGAGAGATGTCTGCACAGGTACAGTAAAGGCTTTAAACTTTACCAAATCAACTTCAAGGGGCAGTGTGCCCACTCCTCGAGCATCCCATGCTTTGTCAGGACGGTGTAAAACAAAGTAGGACTGCATTTACCAGTCACCCAACAACTAGTTAGCAATACATTTGGAAAATAGATTTAGCAAATAGCTTCAGTGTTTAAAAATCTGCACTTCTCGCACACATGTTGATACCAGACTGTGTTATAAGTCGTTTTGTCATGACTATCAACAGCAACTTTATCAACAGGAGTTATAGTGAGTATAATTCTTAGGATATAGCCCTATCAGTAATATTATCAGCAATGTACACAGTACAAGATGTAAACTAATTATCTGGTTGTCAACAAAAATACATGCGCATTTTCAAACGCATTCACAGAAATATACTCATTGGGAAAGTTGTCCGCTTTTGCATTATTAAAATTACAGTGAACTTCTTTTGTACGTTGTACACCCAGTTTAAACCACTTACGTTTTGAGATAATTAGTTATTTTATGAATTTTAATTCAGTAATTGTACATTCTAATGCATCGCAAGGTGTGTGAAGGTGACGTGGGAATACAACTTGGGGTTCAAGCTCTAATGCACAGAAATGATAAAAGTCAAGTTCATGCCTGGATTTTCCATGCAGTGAGCTCACAGCCTCTACCTTGTTGCTATGGGTGGTGCTGAGCAGAGCCAGGTCCTTATCTGTAGGGAGGAATATCTGTGGAAGAGTGTCTGGCTCCTGTAAGACATCTACTCAATGTCAGTGATCAGTGTCAGAACAGCATTTCAGGAGGTCCTCAACCAACTCATGTGACCACCTTCTTGGACATTTGCATACCCACACTTTCTTGTAAAGGACATTAGATAACAATCAAGAACAGGCCAATTGTAGTGCCATAACTACCTCAGACAAAAATAACCTTACATTTCATATTATTACATCAAAACATCTCAAAGTAAATACTAGTAAGTGTAGTGACTGCATTTGTAAGCGAGCACAAAGCTACGATTGCACCTCAAAATCTTCCTGATCAATATGATTTTGTATCATGTTCGGTGGTGCATTTGTCCACTGAACTATCAGAGAAAAAATCAAGGTGTCTCACCTTAAAACTGCAGCCTGTGTAAGATGACTACAAACATAAATATGGTGTGTGTGTGTGTGTGGGGGGGGGGGGGGGGAGGTACAATGTTTAGTGTTTCTTCCATTATCCATTATATTTAGCTTTACTTTCAGTACCAGCACCAGGAAACAAACGTTATGGTGTTAAAATCAAGCATGTGCCTTTTAGCTGTTACTGTGAAGCCTGCCAAGCAATTTACCTGTTATGTCTGATTGCACATACAGCAAAATAACGCAAGGAACAGGTGGTAAACAATTCCCCATCTTATTGTAAATATTAAATAAGAGTCTTCTATTTGAGCAGGGTGAAAGTTATAGAGCCAGCACATTTTCTGTTTTTTAAAAAAAGTATGAATGAAAAGAGTGCAGATTCATACCTGATTCAATGTGAGAATTAAGATAATTAATTCATTATGAAATACTGCATTTTCACTGATATGTTTTTGTTAAAAACAATATCAGAAGTTAAAGCACAAAAACCCTCTTACCTTCCCTCCCTCCAGGTCATTGTGGCCTGGAGGGAAGGAAAGGCGATAGGAGAAGGGATTGTTCCCTTATGTTTTATTAAAACAAGAAAACAATGGCACCTTAAGTGTCATTGGTGCGCCACTGTTTTTGTGAGGTACCCAAAGATTGATGTAGAACTAAATTGTAATATTTTCCCCATCAACGAGGATGTTGTGCACACACCCAATGTTGCTGATTTTTTCAATGCATGAAAATGGAAATCCCTCTCACTTATATATATTGGCCAAATCATTCCTGTCTACTGAAGCAGAATTTTCCCTTTATTTGAGGACAGGAGTTTTCCCCCTCATCCTTGCAAACCCCATGAAATGTGCTGCTATTGAATAAAATATCTAACAACTGACTGGGATTAAGAGGGATTTACATGGCAGGAGACTTTCCTTTCTCCGTCAGTTCAACTGAGATGTAACATATATCGTTTTAATTACTTTATTAGAATAAATGTTCATCCATCCCCAATCCTGTAATACATTTACAGTTGAGAAAATGATCAGGAAGCAAAACAAATGCCTTTCTTATTAATACATGTATGAACATAAAACAGATTTGACTGCAAAATGGGAGGCATTATTAAATCAAAAAAGTGTTTCATTAATTGTTGAAAGGTTGTGCATGTGTGAGTGAAGTAATAATAAGACAGTATACTATTTTATTTTGACTGAGTGTTGAGGATCGTTTGAACTGGAATAAAATTGATATAATTTCTCTAAAGCATTTACTTGTTTAGGCTTCTTGACATTAATTCTAATGTATGTAATAATCCTGGCATATCAGATAGCACCTCAAAGTCCTTCACAGGATTCTATTGTGAAGTGATATGGCCTGTGTGTGTTTTGTGGGTGAACACAGCATCAATTTGTGCACAACAATGTCTCACGTACAGCCATGCAGTGAGTGACTGATTTTTTTTATTTGGGAGATTGTTGGCCATGACACTGGGAGAAATTCCCTTTTCGATTTGAATATGCCTGGCAGGCAGATGGGACCTCAGTGTAACACCTCATTCGAAGGATGGGACACACATGTACATACAACATAAATGACATATAAAGAAATGTTAGATATAAAGATCTGATTTGGGGATTTCTTAATGGGATTCCTAAATAAGGAATTTAAATCATGTAAATGGGAATTCCTTCTGGTAACCAGAAGTATGTCACATCAATCCGTGATAATACTGGCTGGTGCGATCTACCTCCCTCAATACCAATTCTGACTAGACTTCTTATTGAGGAATTTCATTGAGAAAGACTACAAATTTAACCACATAATTCACTGTTCACAATGATTGAAAACAACCCCCTCATTTTCATTATGTTTGGAGGTAACTAAGACTCAGAAAATGTACAAAGATGTATAACGTATCTTTCAATTAGTGAAGATTCCTTTCAAATGTACTTAAGTTGTAAATGTATAGGAGAGAAAGATTGGGTCAACTCTCTTGGTAAGTAAACCACAATGGATTTTAGCTGCAATTCTTTCAGCTCCAATACAAACATTTTAAATCCTATTTGTGATACTATCCTATCTGTTTGAAAATGTACCAAGCAAGGGGAAAAAACACAGCAGTGGACAAAAGATTATTAGATTAGGTGGCTGAATCTTAAAATGCAATCTTCTGTATTGGAAGTTTTAGTAGCAATGTGGCAAAATTCTAGGCAGATCTTATTGAGAAAGGTGAAATTGAATGACTTTTTTCCTCAGGGTTTTTTTGTAATCTCTCCTGCCTGTTTGTGTAGGCTTTGCAGAAACCTTTTGTGATTCTCCTTTAGACATTCTGTACTGAATAGAAATGTCTAGCAGTTATGAAAAATGAGCATGGTTTAGACCAAATCAGCAGACGACATATGCATGTTAGTACTCTTTATATAGGAATAGAAAGAATACAACATTCCAATAGTTCACACCACTCCAGAATTTGTTTAGAGGTGCAATAATATGAAGATGAAACATTATTATTAAGTAGCTCCATGCAAACTTGTTTGTTATCCGAATACTTGACAAGTCAAATTTCAGTGTCCAAACTACATTTTGCTTTGAAGGTTATCCCGTGGTTCCTTTTCTTCTACTGTTGATCAGTTGAACTTAATCTGATTTAATTCTTATTACCACTTTAATTGGCAATGACACACATAGTCATTTGTCACTACACAAATTAAAATATATTTTCCATTGGAGGGATTCTTGATATGACACCCGAGTATGATGCCAATTTGTCACACCAGATCTACTTCTCCTTTTCCTCCAACTCCCGCCATTAATCAACTACATCACTACAGCACGAGCACTTCACAGACACATTTTTTCTCTGCACTGCAATTATTAATGCATTTGAGATATATTTCAATTATGTCAAGCCACAAAGCTACAAATTGCTGCTGTTTCCTAACACACTGATAAAATGAATAGCATTTAAGATCATGACAGTCTGGTGAATTTAATATTTAATCCCTGTTCAAAAGATATTGAGTTCCCTCAACCCTGGAGGTGAAACAAGTGGATCTCCTCATTACACACTGGGGAGTTTTGTAATCTGCTTAAAACAAGATTTGAAAAGGTTATTGTTGTAATGAGAAAATATACACAATTGTATTATTTTTTGCCAATTATATCCATGCATACTGATTAACAACCATTTATGGCAAGGTCTTCATAACTCATTCCATACATTCCACTTTCCAGTCAATCATCTCCATGCTGCGTTGGGATCAGATGGGCTGAAGGGCCTTTTTCATCTAAATCAATCTTGAACTATTACGTAGTCTTCCTTAAACGTCTGCTCATTTAAGGATTTAAGGAAGACCACATTGTGTTATAATCAGTATTATCTATTACAAATATTTGACAGTGTGGCACATTGTGTGCAGAGTAGGTAGCATCCAAACATGATTACTTCTATATCATCATATATATCTCAAAAGCACTTATTGGTTAATTACACTGCTGTTTTTTCCTACCATAGGGAACAATGCTTTCCTGTCAGTAATGCGCATGTTAACATTTTGATTTCAGTTTGCCTAGTTCACAATTAGTCCAGCTAGTGGTTCCAAACGGGTCTTCATGAGAATTATGTACTTTAATAGGTGTAGATCAAAGGTGTAAACAGAGTTCAAAGCTAATTGGCCCACACATCCAGATCCCTACCATCTGGCCTGATTCAAAGACACTCTTAAGATTGAAAATATGTTCCCCAAAAGATCCCTAGAGAAAATGAAACTTATTCCAACTGAACGTCAGCAAGACCGAGGCCTGCCTGATGGGCTTGCGCCAGCACCTCCGCACCTTGGGCACTGGCAGCATCAGCCTCCACGGCCTCACACAACTTCAAGCCAGTCAGGAAC